TACTTGTAAACACACACACACACACACACATACTTGCATATATTAATATGTATTATATACATATACATACATATATATATATATATATATATATATATATACATACACACACACTCACACGCGCGCGCGCACACACACACACACACATATATATATATGCATTAGTGTATGTATGCATGTATGTATGTTTGTGTGTGTGTGTGGGTATGAATGTATGTATGTATATATGCATGTATGTATGACCATTGTTATGCAAGGTTGCTTTCCATAACGTCTGACACAGTTGTATCCAGCATTCGTGCTTTAGTTAACTACCACATTACGACAATTAGAAATAGTCCTGTCTCTGGTCGCTTCGTCCCAATAGTGGGCAGAGTGGTGTTCCACTATATCTTACGTGGTGTTGTGCGCTGTGTACGACTATGAGGGGTGACTCATCTTCGCTCTTTTCTTGTTGGGTTATAGGTTTATGTTTCACTATGTCTCACATGGTGGTGTGCAGTACCTGTGCTTGAGCGATCATGACTTCCCGCGCGAGATCGCCTTCTCATTTCTGGTGGAGATCAAAGCTCAGTTTCTCGGTCACCATGGCAACGATCTGGATGAAGCCGGCGAGTATGCGTTCAACCGAGACTTTGGGCCCATCTTGAAGCATTCGTTAGACTACTATTCATCAGACCCTGCCGCGGATAGGTGAGTAGCTTGTTGTATCAGTGGGTTTAGGGTTGTAACAGCGGGTTTAGGGTTTCGAGCTCAACACATATACATAGACACCAGTATAGGTGTAGGTGTCGACTATGGATATATATCTCATCCGCGCAGGTATATACGTTTAGCGTTATCAGTGCAGCCGCTACAAGGGTGTGTGCACCATTACGTTCAAAGCGTTTGCACGCTTTGGCGTGTCAATGTCCGCTTCGGATACATATACTTCCCACACAAAGACATGCTTACTAATCTGTATCGCTGGAATCGCTAGAGGTCTATGGGTAGTGTTTTTTTAGCTTGACGTTCAGTTTGTGCACTTTATTGTCTACCAATGCAGGCTTCGACAGGTGAGGAGTGAGGTAGACGACGTGAGGAAAGTCATGGTACAAAATATAGGTGAGATCGTGTAGTGTTTATTGCTGCCTTTTAGTTAGCACGAGAACGGCACAGTCATTCTATTCTATGCTATGGTCCGCCATACTGTCAATATAGATGAACAAAGCGTATTGTAATACTATCTGTTGATCGGAGTTAATCGGGACGGTGTTTTTCATTACCTGTAACGGTATACAAAACGTTGTAAACGTTGTGGTGGTCAGATGCTAAATTTAAAGAAAATATGAGAGACGTTCCGTGTTTTAGGTGGTTTGAAGGGATGTTCATTCTCAGATGTTCTTGTGGTGCCAAGAAAAGGGTGAAATACAAACAGAACAACCGACAGTGTGACCTTTGCATGTAGATATGCGTGATTATCTTACGACCCTACTAATCTACACCAATCTATATCAACGTTGTGTATATGTTCATAGTCGGAGAAAATTATCATACGCCATTGTGTATATACATGCTTGTACATATACCTATAAAAGCGATCAATCCCGCGTTGTTTTTATACGCATTCCTTATTGTCATGCTTCTTCTCCAATGCGCAGAGAAAGTGATGCAACGGGGCGAGCAGATTGAGGTGTTGGTGGGACAGACCGACAACCTCAACCAACAGGCGTTTCAGTTCAAGAAGAAGAGCACAGCCCTTAAGCGGAAGATGTGGTGGAAGAATACCAAAATGCTTATCCTACTGGGGATGGTATTGGCGGTATGTACCAAGAGTGTTTATCGTATATTACCGTATATAGCCTCCCCCCCCCTCTCTCTCACTGATGGGTTGTGTGTCCTTTCAAGCAAGCATTTCGGAACATTCAGATTGGCACTGCACCTATAACCTTAGAAAGGGCTGCACCTATAACCTGAGAAAGGGGCTTTGATTTAGGACGCGTAGCTGTCTAGTCTATGTTCTTGGGAGTGGATGTAGCGGCATTCGGAACATTCAGATTGGCACTGCACCTATAACCTTAGAAAGGGCTGCACCTATAACCTGAGAAAGGGGCTTTGATTTAGGACGCGTAGCTGTCTAGTCTATGTTCTTGGGAGTGGATGTAGCGGCACTCTCGTGGATTGTGTACTTATCTTCCTAAATGATCCATCGTTCTTCCCTCCAAGTCTCAGAATACGGGATTCCCGTTTACATCTGTCTTATCTGTCCTGTCTATCTCCCGTAGAGGCGTGTGACGTTTACATCTGTCTTATCTGTCCTATCTATCTCCCCCCACATGTATCTACGGCCCTTTGACACACCCAGATTGTATTCTACTGGATCTTATCCATGGCCTGTGGGGGTCTGAGCCTCCCGTGCTTCAAGTCGTGAATATCGCCAACTGGATGAGAACGTTATACTATACTCATAATCCAAGCGAAGACTCGTGGAGCTATGTCATGATCTGACAATGATAGTCCAATTCTCTCGATGCTGATGTACCCGGAGTTGGAGTGAATATTCGTGGCCAGATATATACATACACACACACACACATACACACACACACATATATATATATATAGTATATATATATATATATAATA